ATGCTGTTTGTATCCCCAGAGTTCATGTAGATTATTAAAAATATAGGAAATAAAGTCATTTCCATAGGAGACAGGTTTAGATGAAATGGACTTGAATTGAATAAAAAATTATGCTAGACAAAGAACTTTTCAGGGGTAAGTACATTTTTAAAGTTTGGAAGGAGGTTACCAATGGAAAGAAATGGGATTTTACTGTACTCTTTGAAGTTGTAGAAACTGTGGTTATACTTAACTTTGCACCTAGTAATCGCTATTAACGAGGCACTGGACAAGTGGTTAGACTATCAGAATGAAAAAAACTGAAAACAATTTCAATCATATGCAAACTTGTTGAGCTTTACTTAAAGTAAATTAGATTATGAAAGCTACTTGACAATATCTGAGCACAAATCCAAAAAAGAAAAAAAAGCATAAATTTCTTAACTGCAAAAACTTACATCTCTCTATATTAAATACATAAACAGCACTCATTAATGCAATACATACTTTATACTGACCTCTTGCAGTCATTTTTTTAAATCAAAGGCTGCACAAATATTTTAATGTGAGTGATTTCAATGGTTTATATTAAACCCAGTTTTGATGTGAAACAAGAATATAAACTGACAGCTAGAGTACACATACACTATGACGCCCAATGTACCTTAAAAAGTTTTTTAAACACACAGCACAACTGAATCTCTTGTAATGTCAGGTATAAAATGATGAACGAGGTAAAATTCCCATTTCCCATACTCTTCCTCTCCCACACTCCCTAATTTTAGCATCCTTGTACCATACTCCAAAACTTGTGGGGACTCAAACCCTCTAGTTATGGGCCTTGAGTCTTTGGAAATTTTTCTTAAAAATAACTGTTTCATCATTTGGAAGAAACTGCCACACAGTATACAGAATAACCTTCTATCTTCATGGATTTATTCCATTCTAACTTATAACTTCATTCTTACTACTTTTAGACATTAGTCTCATTTACATTAGAAGATGGTTAAGAAAACCCAGTAACATTCAAGTAGAGCCCCCAGCAATGTATTTACCAGTAGTGAGCTTATTATTTCTTTTTTATGTAAGGGCCATTTCTTGGTCACATGACTAACTTTATAGGATGTACAGTTGTTGACATCTATACACCACTGAGGCTCCAAAATTGCTTTCAGTGACCAGCTAATAACAAATTTGACTATCCTTTACATGAATTCTTAGGTTCCTTAATAACTCATAGGCTCCAGGAGTTGGCCCTCCCATGGAAATGGTTTCCATTTTCTGTTCCCCAAGGCACCATTACCAGCTCCCAGGACCAAAGTTAGGGAGCCTCTGTCATTAAAATTTTCATAAGAAAAAAAATTCTTCTTTTCAAATAATTTTCCATGAAGTGCAAGGGTGAACAGTGGATTCACTTTCAGCTGGTTCTCTTGAGGAAAAGAAAATTAAGAAATCATATCTTATTCAAATAGGAGACTGTTTCTAGTTTTCCTTGAAATACACATATTGCCGCTGGATGAGGTCAAGTCTCATTTTAATGAAGTGCACTTTTAATTACATCACCTATGCTTAAACCAATTATCATATTAAAACAAACTTGTTGGCTCTACCTAATGTTGAAAGCATTTTAGAAAAATGCATATATGTAATCTTTTGTAGAGCTTGGTTGATTGTAAATGAGGCAGAAAAAATATAAAAAGAAAATCATTATTGAAGTTTACTGGCTATAGTTCCCCCAGAGCCACTGGGGCTTAGGAAAGAGAGGTTTATTTATTTATTTTTTAAACTGATCCAGGAGTTCTTCCTTTGGTGTAGTTCTTAAAGAAAGAATATAGCAGCAGAACAGGCCCAACCTTGCCTGATCTTCCCTAAGAGAAGAAAAGTGAACCTAACTTGAAAAATAAGGTCATATCAATCCCTCTTTATCCTTTTCTCCTTTGAGATCAAATGCTTAACTAACTTTTTATACCCTTGTTATTTTATAAGTTAGTATTGCAAACATATAATGAACATCTCACTTACATTTTGGATGTTTCTAATAATTTTTAAACCTTTGTTTTGTTTCCCCCTTGGAAGAAAAAGGCAGGGAACAAGGAATGACCATGTTTTTGAAGAACTGTTTTCTCCAGATTTGCTATACATCCTGTTTTTTAGGTGATTAGATCATCTGATCTGTCACATATTTTTGCTGCTTCAAATTACAGAAATAGAGATTCAAAATAACCACACACAGAAAAAACTTTGTTAAAATGCTTACAAGAAGCATGCCTTTAATGGGGGGGGTCTAGGGTCAAATGCTTCTGTGATTGCTGCATGTGTGTGTGTTTGTGTATGTGTGAGAGGGCAATGGTGAAAGCTGTTTGACTTATGAATGTAGTTATTATTTTCAATTTTTAGGAAGCTAGCTGAAAGTGCATTGCAGGTATTACCATACCTATGAATTTCTAAGTCTTTTAAAGCCATGATTACACTCCTCAAGAAAGGTGTACTATTGTGTATAAACACAGACACAGACACACATACACACCCACATTCGAGACACTTACACACACTAGCTAGCCTTTGAAACAAGAAGTCATGGCAAGACCCATTTCCTCTTCTGGCTTATAGAAATTTATGATCCTATGATAAGCTGCATCTCACTCCAGGCTCAGAGACCAGCTCACCTCCAGGTGAAGAGCCCAGATCTCATGGCTAACTGTAACATTAACCAAAAAAATTTAACCCAGGTATTGACCTAAAGTTCATTAAAATGGAAAGGTTTTAAAATATCATACAAATACTTCTAAAATGAATATTCTTTAATTACAGTTATATAAATGTAGTTTGCCCTTTTATTTTTTAAAAATATATTCTCATCCTACTTTAGTTAATGGTAAGAAAAAAAAAGACTGATCCAGACAGCTATTATTTAAGATTTTAAAAATCAACATATTTTCAATCAATGGACATGCAAATTCCATCTTCCCCTCAGCAGAAAAGCCTACTAATTAGAAATGAGAGGAGTCTTCAGTTTAGAGAAAAGAAGAAATAAAAAGCAAAAATGTTTGGAGAAGTAATCAAATAACAAGCAATTTCCTTTCCCAGTATTTTAGGAATTTAATGTCAATCCTTCTGTACATAAACACCTCTTTGCTGTTTATGGGCAAACTACTGAGGAAGCCAAAGTGAGAGTCAGAGGGCCAATGCAAGGCCACAGCTCCTGTTTCAAATTCAGAAGAGTTTCTAGCCAAAACCCCAATGGCGCTCAGCTACTAAGTGACAAGAACACTGCCTCCTAGGTCTGGGTCCTATCTTCACTTCTAACTTACTGTATGACTTCAGACAAGCCACTTAACTCTGCCAAAACTCAGCTTCCTCATCAAATGAGGATGATGCCTAAGTTACCACTTCACAAATCCCTTTTGAAGATCTGGTGTGATAATGTAAATGAATGATTTGGTTTCTATATAAATGAGATTTTTTTTTTTTGGTCCAGATCTGTGACTTCATCCATTTGGGGAACTCCAAGTATGGAAACTCTCCCTTAATGCAGATCAGCAGCTCATTTGTAACTTTATCTTTGACTGTGTGTGTGGGCTCTGTTAAGTGACTTGTCCATGGACACACAGCCAGAATGTATCAAAGGCAAGTTCTCCTGTCTGCAGTGCTGGCCCTCTAGCCATGGTGCCCAGCTACCTCTCATGGAAAACTACTGATCTATAACAACATTTCAATGCATAGCATAATAGTAAGGTGTTGCATTAAATTTTGAAAAAATGAACTAATTTGTCCCATTTTTATTATGACTGTACATGCTATTATTTTATATTCAAGCCCAGAAAACAAAGAGGAGTGCTGGGTGAACGACCCATAGCAAAGCAAAGAAGTTATTTTGCATCCCCACGTTTATAAACTGGTAAGAAGTCATGGGTTTCCTGCTAATAAACAAATTTCTCAACAGTCCCTGAGATATTTGGCTGGCATGTCCACATCTTAATAGAGGTCCATTTCCTTTCTATAGCAAGATTTGTGTGCCAGGAGATACAAGTTCCTCCTTCAAGTAGGATTATTTCCTTGTATCAGCTTAATAAAAAAGTACTGAAGGCAACTGAATTGAAAATAACTTCCTCCTCCAGCAGCCAGAAAAGAAATGTGAAATAGGAAGATTCTCTATCTCAGGATAATCATCTGTCAGAGATGCTGTCTTTAAGTTTTCAAACGAAAATGTCCTTCAGGTTTATTTTTTTTTAATGTTGAAATGAGCCTACAACAAATGAATCAACAGGGAGAGAGTTAGCCAACCGTATCATCTTCATGGTTCTTCTCTTATTTCACTACTGAAATAATCTACTCAATCTATCTCTTAGCTATTTGACTTCCACATTAAATACATTTCTGTGGTAAGCAGAACCAAAGGACTGGCGTCAACTCTTTCAACAATTTGGGAGGAAGACTGTGCATACATGTTGCACCTAGAAATGAGACAAGGCATTGGGACCCTAAACAAGAATTGAAAAATTACATGGGCTACTTCTCCACCAGAGGCTTAAGAGCATTTTTTTTTGGTGGGGGGAGGGGACATGTGGCTTGATTTATCACCAGATAAATACCTATATTTCACAGAGAGCAAGATTTTCTGACCTAAAATGGGCATTTTATAAAAAGATTAAAGTGTGCCTGGTTGCTGTCTACTTTGCCTGTCCCTAGTCCTACTTGATACCTATCGCTCACTTTTCACATTCTTTTTTCTTTCTGTGAAGCCTTTGTTCACAATAGAAGAAGAGCTTTGTCACAGACTTCAATTTTGATCTCAAGTCTGTGTTAAATCCATTCCTTTAACTACAGGGCAGGAGATCTTCTTCAAGATGCATCCCTGGGGCAGGGTTTGTGGCATTCCCAGAAAGCACTGGAACCATTTCTCCCAGTCTGGATTCGCTGACGTTGCTGTTCTTTTGTATCCAAAGGGGGATTGCTGAAGTTCAATTTTAACAACTCAACAACTTTGCACAACTCAAGATAATGAAACTCTAAGTACCTGATTTTCAGGGACAAATTTACTTTTTTAATTAAAAAAAAAATCTAGCTCCAATTCCACAAGCATCAAACACTCACAAATAATAAAACATATTGCCACTTAAACTTCTAGCCATGTACCTAAAACAAAAATATAAGATCTCTGTCCCCACTCACCTTCCTCTCCCATCCTCTACTTCTTAATTTTGCCTCTACTGTTGCCATAAAGCTGTACATCTCACTATGTGGGAGAAGAAAAAAATGACAACAAGCCAGGCCTCTAGGAAGTACACAGGCCTCTATACAATGTAGGCATGCCCAAGGGATATTGTGTATCAGAAATTTAAATGTCAACACTGTTCCTGTACAAGGTTGACTTTATTCAGCTTAGTTAATTTATTATGAGGAATAATCTGAGTACAACATCAAAAACAAAATAAAAAATCCAGAGGGCTTTTTATTCCTTGCCCATCTAGTATTACCATTTTGTTCCCAATGTTTTCTGCTTAGGCTGACCAATTAGACCCCATTCACCCATACTGAAAAATATCTCTCCTGAAATTTACTCAATCTTATTGCATTTGTACAAGTAATGAGCCAAGTACAACTATTGCAACTAAGACATAATGTTCACTGATACAATATGTTTTAACTAATTATATGTGCACACAGGCAGCCAACATATTGTATTAAAGACATCTTATTGAAAATGCAAAAATAGGAGATGTATTGTAGCTTAAAATAAATTACATAACCTATACAGTATATATATTTAAAATAATATTTTATTTAGGTTTTGTCAGTTTTCAAGTGTTTTGACTAAGCCAAGAATTTAGTAAACTAAATATGTCCAAAATTCAGAAAAGAAAAAAAATTTTGTGAAACTTAGAAAAATATACTTTACTAAATTGAATCCAAATGCCTAATTTCAGGGAAGATCACATAGTGATTTTTAGTAATTTTATAAAGTGTCTTCTTTTTATTGTATGGCATGAAAGGGCTATATATCCTAGTGCTTTCCATGAGTTATATGTACCACAAAGTTATAAGAATGGCAGAAAGATACAATAAACTATACCTAAAAAGTTATTAATACACCTATCTAGCACAAGATTGCTAGATTATGACTTAGCTAAAGCTTTCAGTTCTCTTGAAGAAACCAAAACCAAAATCAGTTAGAATGCTCCATTCAACTACCTGTAGTGCCACCTTCAGGATAGGAGAATGAAAAGCAGGTAACGGCATGCAAAAGACTTGAAATTTGGTAATATGAGGTGACTAAAAAACATTGACGTATATACTAGGATATTAAAGAGACAAAACAAAACACAACCCTCTTTGAACCTCTTATGTAAAATGAAATACAATTGTTGAGTTATGATTCATTTTTGCTACCCCAATGATCTCTCAGACCATAAAAAATTACTTCCATATTTCAATGAAGCCTATTCACAATTCTCTTCCTTTGAATAGACTTTGACTCTTCCTGAATTTAGCCTCTTACCCCTCTGTATTTTAATAGTAGACAGTTTATAACTCCACGGGCAAGAGGAATATATTAGGCCACAAGGGTTATATCTGTTTATACAGCCAAGTTATTGTCAAGTGAGTAAAAGAAAATTCAACTTTTAGATACTGTATTTTCAACCTTGTGATCCTAAAAAAGAGGAAGAAAAAAAAATGGAGTTGAGTTTGTGGCCAAAGGGCACGAGTGGGCCATGTAGCCAATGGCACAGAGACACACAGCAGTACTTTGGTTGACAAATGCAGATTGTCCAATGGAAGTGAAGGCTTCAACAATGGAGACAACTTCTACCATGATGCAGCCATGTCTCTTAGTTTTTTATGGTGCAGAAAAACTAATTCCATTTAAAAAAAAAGAGAAAAAGAAAAGACCTCTCTTTAGGTCCCACATCAATGTGAGCATACCCAGTATGCTAGAGAATTTATCTGAAACCTTTTAAATCAAGGCCTCTTTCATTTAAAAAAAAAAAAAATACACACAAACAAAAAAAAAAAACCCAAGATGAAAGAAGAAAAGATGCTGAAGTATTATTCCAACTGTCTCTGTGGTGTGGTGATCAGTCACATCATCTCATGTCTTTATTCATTCTCTTCTCTCATTTCTACGATGTCTGTAATTTCCTCTGTTGGAGGCATGTCAGTCATGGCGGAGTCTTCACCTTCTGTGGCTGACTCGTTTTCGGTCTTCTTTTTCTAGATCAAAGAAGAATTCATAAATCCAAGAATACAGACAGAATCAAAATGTCAACACAAGTTGACCCTGGAACAATGACCATTCAAAAGACAGAATATGCTACATAAAAATCTTAGGTGATTGTTTACTTGTATCTTGATATGGAGGGCATGCATATCATTTTGGCCAAAAATTCAGTTACTACCTGAAATATTTATTGAATATTTACTGCATGTTTAACACTGTGCTTGGTGCAATGAGAACTATAAGGTAGACATGGCTCCTCTTCTTAAGAATATTACAGTTTTGTTAGTGCGGTTAAATATATAATCATCAAGCAATTAGAGTTCAACCTGTTGCAGGGCATTATTAAGTGACAAAATCTACAAAAGACAAGTGGGGCAGGAGGTTCAAGAAGCAGGCAGTTGGGAAAAATTCAGAAAGTGGTCATTGTGCTTCACTTTGAAGGATGGCAAATGTTTTATTATACACACACACACATTTTACTGTGACATTCTTTAAAGGAAAAGTTCTCTAGTTCAAGAGGTGAATAGAAGAATCCCTGAAGGTGTGAAAAATAATTATTTCTTCAGGATTTCCTCAATCTAATCCAATGAGCATTTATTAAGCACATATTAGGGGCAAAGCACTATTTAATGTGCTAGGTATACAAAGACAAGATGAAAAATCAATGCCATCCTCAGAGAATTTATATTCTGTTATTTAGATTCTGTGATTTCAGTCTGTTGTGGCAAGAGTAGCAAGACTGCAGAAATCCTTTTAGGATGTTTCCACTAAAATAACAAAGATGTTAACAGTTATAATGCATTACTTCCAAAATTTCTGGTCCTGTTTGTTTCATTTTAGGCAGAGAGCTATTTTTTTTTTTTTTGTTATTAACACCTAAACATCAAATGACATTATGGCTTTGGAAATTCTTTTCAAAAGTAGTAAGTGAATTTACTTTTGTGGTAAGGAAGTCAAATAGAAAGTTAGGTAGGGAATCGAGCAGTAAGCATTTATTAAGCACACACTTTGTGCCAGGAATTGTGCTGGCACTGAGGATATACATACAAGCTCTCAAGGAGTTTGTATGTAACTTGTGAGATACATGTTCATAGATAGGTAAATACAAGGCCAATATTTAAAAAATATTTTTGGAAGGTACTAGGTGGCACATTGGTTGGAGTAGGCCCACAGTCATGAAGACCTGAGTTCAAATCTGTCCTCAGACACTTATTAGCTGTGTGACCTTGGGCAAGTCACTTAACCTCTATTTGTCTCAATTTCCCTAACTGTAAAAAATGGGGATAATAATAGCACCTATCTCCCATGATTGCTGTGAGGATCAATGATAAAGTAAAGCACTTAGCATAGTGTATGGCACACAGTAGGCACTTAATAAATGCTAATTTCCTTTCTGCCTATCTACAAACAATGGTGGAATGGGCAAATGAGAACAATCTGTTCCAGTGGCCATGAAGATAGCTGAAGCAGACACTGTCAAATGCTCAGAACCTGGTCAGGCATCAGAGATGCCAAAGTCATCCACTGCATCCTGGGCCATCACCAGTTGTCTTAATTTTTGTCCTTTCACTGAATTTGGATGACTCAGGAAGAGAAAGTGAGGCCGATGACTCTTCAAAACCCTGTATCACTTCAGTTCAATTTACAGGCAAGTCAAGACATCACCTGTGATGTCACTGCTCCTCTTTGAAAATAAGGACCAATACCACTACCAACACCAACAGGCAGAACAAGAAAGGCCTCCTGAAGAAAAAAGTAAGTACTTGAGCTGAGCCTTGAAGGGAGCTGGGGGTTCCAAGAGGCAGAAGGGAGGAAGGAGAACATTCCAGGGATGCGGGAGGCAGAGATATGAAAGGATATTTCACGTATGACAAACAAACAGGTCATTTTGGCTGGAAGGTAGAGGATGTGAGAGGGGAGATTTTAAACAGCAGTAACAATTCTCCCCAAAGATTTTTTAATGATACTCATTTCATAAGGATGACTGTGAAATGGGCTTGAAAAGCACCTGGGAACATACCAAATAGTCCTATTTTAGCATCAGATATGGCATTTATGTGTTTCTCCTGTTTCCTTTGTATCCCCAGCACCTATCCCAGGGCCCACTAAGTTCTCAATAAATGCTTGTTGGTTGATTGAGTATTCATGGAGCAACTGCCTGCTGAGACTAATCAACATCTTACCTGTTTTCTATAGACATAACAAGCTGCTATTGCAACCATGGTAGATTCTCCCACGAAGCCAGCTAGGAGTGACCCCACTCCTAGGGTAGCTCCGTGAACCCTGAGAATAAGAGAAAAATGTATCCTTAAAAATTTAACCCCAAACCATGGCACAAATAAAAAGTAGAGTGAGCACAAAAGAAATGCTACTGCAAATATTTTAAATCATCTAAGGTTAAAGTCGAGAATGAGAAGAGAGTCCTGATATTTAATGACAGAGTTTGCATTCTAAAACTAGTAACTTGTGAGACTTTGCATTTCCTACCTGTGGAGTTGCTCACTACTGGGGAACAGAGCTGTGCAAATCTTCTGCTGCTTGGTAATTAGTGATTGTTATCCCCATTAATCAGAAATGTCCGTAAACCTCTTTTGATCTGAGTTTTGCTGGTTCAAAGGCAGAAAACAACAAGCTGGTTCTAGTTCTAAATTCAGGCACACTGGAGACTGGTATGTGAAAACACAGATCTTAAGCTCTAGGTGTCACACTTTTGAAGGAAATGAGGACGATGTCCCTAATGGCATCCCGTACATAAGTCAGAAAAGCTACTTACCCCATATAAGGGAGGACGACAAGACTAGTGATGAGGACAATGATGCGCAGCACGGAGCTGGGGGCCAATACAAATGTCTTCTTCAGTGTCATCAGCCAACCAGTCAAGTGCGCTCTCACTGTGACTGCTCAGAGAGAGTGGAAAACGGCATCAAGTGATAGCCTTTCTCACGACTCCTTTGCCCCTACTTCTACTAGGGGCTTTCAGGGTCCTCCATATTCAGACAAGTCCAGATTACAGTATGTTTGAAGGCTGATTTCTTCTAATAGATTATTTATGAAGGCTTCTAGGCTGAGGCAAAGGGGTAGTCAAGTCTTAAGGCCCTGGTTGGTAGCACCCCATATGTAGTAAACATACTCTTTGCTTGGTTTCCTGGCCCACTGTTGCTTAATTTTCTTGTTTAGGTTCACTTGAAGGAATTTTAATAGGAACCTAAGTTCCTTGCAATAAAATAGCAGTAACAAAACAAATCTTAATAAAATACTTTGCTTAGTGCCCCATCCTCTCGATTGCATATCCTACTTACCCAATCTTGTGTTCCATTTGCAGTTCTTCTTACTGTCCTACAAAACTGGCAGACTTTATTTCCCCAAACCAAGCACTTCCTCATCTTGTCTCCCCTCTGTTCCAATGTCCTTCATCTTCCTTCCTGTCACGTCTGTCCAGTCCTGCCCCATACCCATGACACATAGGTCATGGCCTTCCTCTGCCTGCAGCTTCCCTGGTCCACTGACTTCCATGTCAATATCCCTTTTCTCTGAAGTTCTGTTAACACGCATTGTCTGCAGAATTTGTTTTGGTCCTAAATAATATGCTTCTTTGTAGGGTATATTTCCTGTGTGCTGATCTTATTGCCTAATTAGACCCTAAGCTCCAGGCAGGGCCAAGGATTATGTGTTATGCTTCTTTTAGAGCTCTCAAAGACTGCCTAGGTATGAGTTAGGTACTCAAAAAATACATGCTGAGTGTTACGCAAGGGACTCTTGCTTATGAAAGATCAAGTCGATTTTTCTTAGTAAGGAAAGCCCAGAATGTCTGTTTATTCCATCTGGAACCTCCCTTAAATTTTTGCATTTTGTCTCTTCTTTTTTTTGGGGGGGGCTAGGCACTGGGGTTAAGTGACTTGCCCAGGGTCACACAGCTAGTAAGTGTTATGTATCTGAGGCCGGATTTGAACTCAGGTCCTACTGAATTCAGGGCCAGTGCTCTATCCACTGTGCCACCTAGCTGCCCCTAAATTTTTGCATTTTGAAGGAACTTAAAGAGGACAGCATGCTTGCATCTTTTGAAAAGTAGCAGCCAGCTACAGTTAAACAAGTGATAATGGGCCTGAGCCTCTGCTAAGCCAGCATCAGGCAAACAAACACTGGAGGAAAAAGTACTCACTGTTGAAGGAGGAAATCTAATTTCCAGGGCACAGTTTGTGGAAAGAGAAAATTTATCAGCTGTATTCCCATGAACTATGTGCATTAACTTCCCACTGGAGAGGCCAGTTTACTTTTATTGTTCATTTTACTTTTTCAGTAAAAAATAGTTTTGTTTGGTTAAAGAAGTGACAAACCACACGTTAGTTTGATTAGCCACAACATGAGGAAGGAAACATAGAATTTTACAGCTACGAGGAACCTTAAAGATCATCTAGTTCAATCTCCTTCATTTTAGGGAAGAGAAAACAAAGGCCCAGAAAGATATAATTCCTGTTTTTAGACAAGAAATATTCTTCTAAACTGCAGACACACAGATGCCTCCTTGCTTTTGGGATCAGTGACTACAATGGTCTTAGCCTGAACACTGGGCCTTCTTTACAAACCCATTTGATCACACAAGGACAGGACAAGTTTTATTTTATGCGAATACAGCCGGCTCCTTCCTATCCTGGCTACTTCACAATTCAATATTTGTTCAATGAACCCTGATCAATAAGGGTCTGGTTCTTCCACTAATCTGCATTTACCTGCTCACCGGACAGTTTCTGCTGATGCCAAAGAAAACGAAAGTAGCGGCATGTGCAGAGGCTTGTTGCTATGGTCCAGGACTCAGCTGCGGCTGAGTCTCAAAGCAGCCATGACTTGGAAACTCTATCTCAACTGCTTTACCCTGTTCTTACCGTACTATGGGCAAATAATGACAAAATGTATGCTGTGTTTTTTTAATCACTCTGGAACATTTCTTAACCCGTAGATTCTTTGCTATCTTCTTGGCATTTCAGTGCCCTAATTTTCCAACTGTTTCAAACTATCATTATTTTCCTTCTTGGTATTCCAGGTCACATCCTCAAATTTCTTCCCCGGCTCTGCTAGTAAAGCCAATCATCCCTCTTCTCACCCTCATTTTATTGCCTCTGTTGTCTTTTAAACTGCCACCTGTGTTTATCTCAAATGATATAGCACATGCAAAGTACTTAAAGCGCTATATTATTATTAGTACTAGTTTCTTGCTTTTTTACATCTTTTTTTTCCTTTCCTCTATAAAATCTCCTTGTAAAAATGTAGTTTTGATAAACTATTTACTCCCAAATAAGAAGACCAAAGGGAAAGACAATCAGGAAGTTTCACCTGGAACTGGGAAGAAGGAGAAAATGCGTAAAGGAATAACACAGAGTTCTGCAAAGGCAAAGTCCACTCCAATGATGTCAATCAAAATCTTCTCTGAAACGTTGGGGGTCCAAAACATCACAAAACAGAGCTAGAAGGAAACAAAAGCCATTAAACAATCATGAAAGCAGATTCCAAATCATTAGTGAGAGAAATGTAAATTAAAATAAATGAGGTTGTATTTCACAACCAAATTGGCAGAGATGGCAATGATGAAAATGGTAAATGTTGGAGGAGCTGTGAGAAAAAAAAAGCCACAGTAATGTGCTGTTGGCAGAGCTATGAATTGGTCCAATTGTTCTGGGAAACAATTTGAAATTACACTAAAAAAAATCCCCACTAAACTGCATATATCCTTTGACACAGCAATTCCAGCACTAGGAATATGTCACAAGGAGGTCATACACAGAAGGAAAAGTCTCATATATACCAGCATATACCTAACTGCATTTTTTTTTCTTTTGGTAATAGCAAAGAAATGGAAAAAAAGGGGTTTGGCAAAGTGAATAAACATTTATTAATAAGTACCTACTTAGCACTTTACAAATGTTATCTCAGTTGATCCTCATAACAACCTTGAAAAGTAGTTATCCATTAATTGGGAATTATGTTCTAGAATTATAATGGAATATTATTATACCATAAGAAAAAATAAATATGAAAAAGTGGGAGAAATTTGAAAAGGCTCGTATGAACTAAAGCTGAACAAAAGTAAGCAGAACTAGAACAACATATATGAAAATCTCAATGATGTAGAGGAAAACACACTGATAGACTCCAGTGGTCAATCATGATGTCAGACGACTTAATGGTGAAGCATCCATTCCTCCCGCCTATCTGCAGAGACACTGACAGACATAGTCATTATGCTGATTAGTCTTACCAGACTACTTATTTGTTATAGGGGAGCTAAGGGGTCATTTGGAAGAGATAATGATGTAAAGAAAAAGAATATCAATAAAATACTTTAATAAGAAAAAGGAAGGAATAGCTAAAGATAAGGAGGAAACACATTTTAAACCTGTAGAGGGACACCCTGAAATTCTGATGGAGGCTGACACCAGACAGGATTTCACATAAGTCACTTGATACCAACTTACCAGGTCTGGGAAGATATTCCTTTTTAATTAATTAATTTTTAGTTTTCAACATTCACTTTTATAAGATTTTGAGTTCTAAATTTCCCCCCCTCCCTTTACCACTCCCTCCCCAAGACAGCATGCAATCTGATATGGGCTATGACCACATTATACATATTTCCACTTTAGTCATGTTGTGAAAGAATAATCAGAACAAAAGGGAAAAACCATTAGAAAGACAAAAGAAAAACAACAACAAAAAAAGAGAAAATAGTATGCTTCGATCTACATTCAAACTCCATAGTTCTTTCTTTGGATGGGGATAGCATTTTCCATCATGAGTCTTTCGGAATTGTCTTAGATCATAGCATTGTTCAGAAAAGCTAAGTCTAAGAAGAGCTTAAGTCTAAGTCTAAGTCATCGCACAATGTTGCTGTTACTATATACGGTGTTCTCTGGGTTCTGCTCACTTCACTCAGTTATCAGTTGATGCAAGTCTTTCACGGTTTTTCTGAAGTCTGCCTGCTCACTATTTCCTATGGAACAATAGTATTCCTTTACATTCATATACCACAACTTGTTCAGCCATTCCCCAATTGATGGGTATCCCCTCAATTTCCAATTCTTTGCCACCACAAAAGGAGCTGCCATAAATGTTTTTGTATGTGTGGGTCCTTTTCCCTTTTTTTATGATCTCTTTGGGATACAGACCTAGTAGTGGTATTGCTGGATCAAAGGGTATGCACAGTCTTATAGCCCTTTGGTCATAGTTCCAAACTGTTCTTCAGAATAGCTGGATCAGTTCACAACTCCACCAACAATGCATTAGTCTTCCAATTTTTCCACATTTTCTCCAACATCTATCATTTTCCTGTTTTGTCATGTTAGCCATTCTGATAGGTGTGAAATGCTACCTCAGAGTCGTTTTGATTTGCATTTCTCTAATCAATAGTGATTTAGAGCATTTTTTCATGTGACTATAGCTTTAATTTCTTCATCCAAAAACTGCCTGTTCATATCCTTTGACCATTTATCAATTGGGGAATGACTTGTGTTCTTATAGATTTAACTCAGTTCTCTATATATTTTGGAAATGAGGCCTTTATCAGAGATACTAGCTGTAAATATTGTTTCCCAGCTGCTTCCCGTCTAATCTTGGTTGCATTGGCTTTGTTTGTGCAAAACCTTTTTAATTTAATGTAATCAAAATTATCCATTTTGCATTTCATAATATTCTCTATCTCGTTTGGTCATAAGTTCTTCCATTCTCCATAGATCTGACAGGTAAACTATTCCCTGCTCTCCTAGTTTGCTTATAGTTTCACCCTTGATGTCTGAATTGTGTACCCATTTTGACGTTATCTTGGTATACAGTATAAGATGTTGATCTATGCCTAGTTTCTGCCACACTGTTTTCCAGTTTTCCCAGCAGTTTTTGTTAAATAGTTAAGTTCTTGTCTCAGAAGCTAGAGTCTTTGGGTTTATCAAACAGATTACTATAGTCATTGACTGCTGTGTCTTGTGTACCTAACCTGTTCTACTGATTCACCACTCTACTTCTTAGCCTCAAGTAGTTTTGATGATTGCTGCTTCATAACAGTTTTAGATCTGGTATGGCTAGGCCACCTTCCCTTGCATTTCTTTTTATTAATTGGGAAGGCATTCTCGAATGGTTTCTTGTAGATTCCACAATCATCCCCTAACTACCAATCATTTTGTTTCAGATAGGTAAGGTGGTACAGTGGAATGAGCAATTGATTGGGCATCAGAAGACTGGGTACAAATCCCACATCTGACACTTACGGCCTGTGTGACCTTGGGCAAGTCACTTCACATCTGGACCTCCCTTTCCTCATCTGAGGGTTTAGAGTATGTAACCCCTGAGGTCCCTTTCAGCTCCAGATCTATAGTTCTATGAGCCATAACAAACAGAATGGAATGAAAGCTTCTTGTGAGGATGGACTGTCCTGTTTGTCATTATATCACTGGCACCTGGCACATAGTGAACACTTACTGAATGAATGAATAGTGGTGAACCTAGCAGACCTTGCAATTGGAATACTATCCATACTACTGTCATCATCACTCTACTTTCCCATATTCAGTGGCAGGAGAGGAGCAATTGATTCTGTGGGAGAATATATGAAATCACTTAGAATTCTCTATTGCCAAGAGGTCCGCAGGTACTGCAGCTATATTGATTTGTATCCCTTTAGTGGTACCTCAGTCTGCAAGGAACTTTGAGAACACAGCAGACCTGGGAAACCTTAAGAGAACTGTCAGCAAGGAGCAGATGGACCGAGGCCACCGGGTCAACTGGAGAAAGCAATAGCCACTGACACTGCCACTTACTGGCTGTGTGATCCTCGGCCAGTCACTTAACCCTTTTGAGCCCAAACTATAAGATTGTAAGATGGGGTTAATGATACCCATGCCTTATACTTTAGGTGGTTACTCTGTAAAGTGTAGACTATGGTTCAAATGGATAAAATATGGGACTGGGGGGTGAGTGGGAAGGGATAACATGTTCTTGTTAAAAACCCCACTGCATTTTAAAAGATTTCTCAGCTCAACATTAAAATGCTTGTTGATAGACTGAATGAGGGAAGTTTGGGTTTTTTACTAACTTTTAAACTAAATTGACTGAAATTTAAAAATCACATTTTCATCCAGAAGCTTTCAGGGAAACACAAACCAAGCACTACATTAGATATTCAATGGACATCATAATAATATTTATGCATGTATGATACTTTATACTTCTCAAGGTCTTTCACACTCTCTTTCACTGAGGTCATAAGACCTGAAACCAAGTAAGAAAGCAAAGTAAAGTGTGTTATTAGTGAAGCAGTTCTGGTCTGGTGCATCAAAAATGATTCCTTCTGGTGGGTAGAGACTATTCTACCTAATTATCAGGCTTCCAGAGGCATAAAAGGCAGAGAAGAGGATAAAGCCATTTGTTAGAGGTTAGAATAATTCTCTCTTTATTAATCTGGGAGCCAGGAGATCACCATGGTCCTAGGTTGACCTGTGGATAGTCAGACTTTTCCAGGTCATGATCTCTTCAGGCCTCAGGCTTCTTAATGAAGAAATATGGTTACTAGCACTAGCTGCTTCCAGCACTTAGCACAGTGCCTGGCACATAGCAGGAGCTTAATAAATATTTGTTGACCGACTGGTGACTGAAAAATTACATAGGGATACTGTGGCATTTCATTAAAAAAATCTATGAAAACAAATATCTTCATGAAAGTGCTTTGAAGGAAATCTATATTTATCATGTTTGACACTGCAAATTGACAGGACCCTTCACCAGAGATATCCTGTGTCAGAAATAGTAAAAATGCTTGTTTACATTAATAATATAAGTACAAAGCAGAATATAATGAAGAGGTTTCCCTCTCCCCAATTTATCCAAGTACTGCACCTACCCGGCATCTGGGCAATATCAACACCTTCCCCAATGCTAGTATTTTTCCTCCTCACTGAATTGCCCTGGGCCAAATGGACACAGCCATTGTTACTCCACCCACTCCCGGAGTTCCTGTTCTAATATTATCTGGTTCCTCAATAACAGGGACCTTCCTCCTTAGCCACATTACACTTAGGGGACCTCCTAGGGATCGCCCAAGAATGGTGGAGGAAATGAAACCATGACTTCTGGCTAACTTATATCTTCCCTCCTGACAATAAGTCTACCTAACTTCTAGTGAGAAGGAAGGCCACACAAGGACATTTCCACTAACTATCAGGCAAAGTCAACTACGAAAGCAGCTTACCACTTTTTCTTCTGACTTGCTTTGGGACCTTGGGTAAATGACTCATTTGCCTAACACTTCAAGTTTCCCATTTCCATTGCAAGGTGTCCTGGTCCCTCAGACTAAAAGGAACAAATGGATTTTTTGTCTTTTTCCAAGCCCTGTATCTGCTTTGCTACTCATGAACTTCTGAAGTATTCTGGTAATTAAATTAAAAAATTAAAATAAAAAATAAAAAATTAAATTAAAAAATA